GACACAACCACACAAACAAGCAAGCAAGTCGGAAAACAGTCACACCCAAAATCAAACAACTATCCCACTAAATGTATCACCAATCAACAACACGACATACTCACACACCTATTCATTCGCTCATCCAAACTACTATTCGACCAATTGGTCAATCGATCCATCAATCCTCCAACCGATCAATCATTCATTCACTGAACTGTCGGTTCGTGTCGACTGGATTCATCAATCTCACTGGAACGGAACATCTCTACACACTCGAGTGCACGTCCTTCAATCGGTCACACCACTTCAATCACCGTGACGTGCCCTCACGCGCGCGGGCGCGCACACACAGTCACACAGACACACAGACACACAGATACATAGATAGATAGATAGATAGATAGATAGATAGATAGATAGATAGATATGATGCATTCGTCGTTCCATTGAACGAGTTGTGCTCCGATCTGTTCCGGTGAATATCGGTCTCCCGAGAAGTGTGAGTGCACACTAATCCAACAGCACCAGCAACAGTATCAATAAAGCAACACCGTCACCAACATCATTGCCATCCATTCATTTCCATCAGGCACATGCACATTTCATTGTGCAGTGAATAACTGATCATTCACCATATCCAATTTCAAACAATCCTCAACCAGCATGTGCATGACCGGATTCGACTTATCGCTTTGAACTAACGAACACTTGATCGGTCGAGATCAGTTTGATGAGTTTGATGTGGACACGAATATGCTTAATACCGGTAACAGTGACGTGCTGCAACCGATACGACAGCTGATCTGTGTGTTGTTCGGTGATGAGTATTGAATCTTTGTAGCACATTGGACAACAACTCGTTGTTATCAGCTGGAGTGTGACGTTGTCTTCCGACTGAGAGGACAGATCTCCTCAGAGGTAGTGGGGAAATCAGGTGAATACAACAAGAAAGGATGGGTTCCGCATTCGAGGACACAGTCTGTTGCCAACTCACCCCCACGGCCACAACCCACAGATTGTTCAGAATATTGGCATGCGGTAGTTTTTACGGTCTTGTGCATCAGGGCACTGACTACCAAGCATCAACCGATCAGGTTGGTATGTGTATTGCGGGTCGAATTGCACAACTCCGTTCAACAGGCGTTTATGCACATGATGTTGGTTTAGCGAGCAATGTCAATTTTTGCATAGTGTGTGATGTGAAGCATATTTTGGCAATGATTTTGATATGAGTGTAAAATCACTGAGCCCGACGTGATTCGAACACGCAACCTTCTGATCTGGAGTCAGACGCGCTACCGTTGCGCCACGAGCTCGCCGCATATCTACCACACATCTTATACTCACTACAAATCAACTCATCCTCCTCCTCCCTCAAACACATCATCCTCTAACCGTTGTCTCTTCCTCCACTCACAATACGCTCACAACTTGTCAATAGGCGAACGACTATCAACATAATACACACATCACAATCAGCAAGCGCATCTACTCATTCGTTCAGTACAGTACAACTGTACACATTAGCTAACCGCCCACACGACACAACCACACAAACAAGCAAGCAAGTCGGAAAACAGTCACACCCAAAATCAAACAACTATCCCACTAAATGTATCACCAATCAACAACACGACATACTCACACACCTATTCATTCGCTCATCCAAACTACTATTCGACCAATTGGTCAATCGATCCATCAATCCTCCAACCGATCAATCATTCATTCACTGAACTGTCGGTTCGTGTCGACTGGATTCATCAATCTCACTGGAACGGAACATCTCTACACACTCGAGTGCACGTCCTTCAATCGGTCACACCACTTCAATCACCGTGACGTGCCCTCACGCGCGCGGGCGCGCACACACAGTCACACAGACACACAGACACACAGATACATAGATAGATAGATAGATAGATAGATAGATAGATAGATAGATAGATAGATAGATAGATAGATATGATGCATTCTTCGTTCCATTGAACGAGTTGTGCTCCGATCTGTTCCGGTGAATATCGGTCTCCCGAGAAGTGTGAGTGCACACTAATCCAACAGCACCAGCAACAGTATCAATAAAGCAACACCGTCACCAACATCATTGCCATCCATTCATTTCCATCAGGCACATGCACATTTCATTGTGCAGTGAATAACTGATCATTCACCATATCCAATTTCAAACAATCCTCAACCAGCATGTGCATGACCGGATTCGACTTATCGCTTTGAACTAACGAACACTTGATCGGTCGAGATCAGTTTGATGAGTTTGATGTGGACACGAATATGCTTAATACCGGTAACAGTGACGTGCTGCAACCGATACGACAGCTGATCTGTGTGTTGTTCGGTGATGAGTATTGAATCTTTGTAGCACATTGGACAACAACTCGTTGTTATCAGCTGGAGTGTGACGTTGTCTTCCGACTGAGAGGACAGATCTCCTCAGAGGTAGTGGGGAAATCAGGTGAATACAACAAGAAAGGATGGGTTCCGCATTCGAGGACACAGTCTGTTGCCAACTCACCCCCACGGCCACAACCCACAGATTGTTCAGAATATTGGCATGCGGTAGTTTTTACGGTCTTGTGCATCAGGGCACTGACTACCAAGCATCAACCGATCAGGTTGGTATGTGTATTGCGGGTCGAATTGCACAACTCCGTTCAACAGGCGTTTATGCACATGATGTTGGTTTAGCGAGCAATGTCAATTTTTGCATAGTGTGTGATGTGAAGCATATTTTGGCAATGATTTTGATATGAGTGTAAAATCACTGAGCCCGACGTGATTCGAACACGCAACCTTCTGATCTGGAGTCAGACGCGCTACCGTTGCGCCACGAGCTCGCCGCATATCTACCACACATCTTATACTCACTACAAATCAACTCATCCTCCTCCTCCCTCAAACACATCATCCTCTAACCGTTGTCTCTTCCTCCACTCACAATACGCTCACAACTTGTCAATAGGCGAACGACTATCAACATAATACACACATCACAATCAGCAAGCGCATCTACTCATTCGTTCAGTACAGTACAACTGTACACATTAGCTAACCGCCCACACGACACAACCACACAAACAAGCAAGCAAGTCGGAAAACAGTCACACCCAAAATCAAACAACTATCCCACTAAATGTATCACCAATCAACAACACGACATACTCACACACCTATTCATTCGCTCATCCAAACTACTATTCGACCAATTGGTCAATCGATCCATCAATCCTCCAACCGATCAATCATTCATTCACTGAACTGTCGGTTCGTGTCGACTGGATTCATCAATCTCACTGGAACGGAACATCTCTACACACTCGAGTGCACGTCCTTCAATCGGTCACACCACTTCAATCACCGTGACGTGCCCTCACGCGCGCGGGCGCGCACACACAGTCACACAGACACACAGACACACAGATATATAGATAGATAGATAGATAGATATGATGCATTCGTCGTTCCATTGAACGAGTTGTGCTCCGATCTGTTCCGGTGAATATCGGTCTCCCGAGAAGTGTGAGTGCACACTAATCCAACAGCACCAGCAACAGTATCAATAAAGCAACACCGTCACCAACATCATTGCCATCCATTCATTTCCATCAGGCACATGCACATTTCATTGTGCAGTGAATAACTGATCATTCACCATATCCAATTTCAAACAATCCTCAACCAGCATGTGCATGACCGGATTCGACTTATCGCTTTGAACTAACGAACACTTGATCGGTCGAGATCAGTTTGATGTGGACACGAATATGCTTAATACCGGTAACAGTGACTTGCTTCGACGGATACCATAGCTTATCTAGAATTCTGCCATTCTGTTTTTTTTTCTGAATTTACATGTGTTTTATTTCGTTATGCTTTTGGTATACTTTCTCATTTTTTTCAATAATCTTATTGTAATTGTTTATTTTTCAATTTTTTTGTTGACTGTTTTTTAACTTGTACGTTTTATCTTTACAGGGGAGGCAATATTTTTTATGTGATAACATCATATGCACCTCATTTTTAGATACCTTTTATTTTATTAGATAAATCATCAAGAGAGTTGACACCGCGGTTTTATATATTTTACTAATTTGTGAAGTTTGAGAATTTATGGATGACACAAACTTCTCAATTGTCAAGTGTTCCTGTCATAGAGGACCATTTTGAAGGCTTTCATAACAGTTACTCCGAGTATTATCTACAATTGAATACCTATTTCCATTATGTGAGCTGATGGATTATTTTATCGCTGTTCAGTTTTACAAACTGTTGTAATGCATCAATCCCTATCAAGATAGGGATTAGTTGTAATTGCTTTTTCATCGTACTATAGGGTAGAAATAGTAATAAATATACTTTATTGCTTATTAAATGGTGGTTAGGACGTCCAGTTTTCAGCCACTATGTGAGCTCTCCCTCTCGAAATGCTCTCACAAGACTACGCGTATATAACCAACACCAGGGAAGTCCCACTCACTGCCTTCTCGTGGTGGTGGTGTTTACGAAACTAAGAGAACGAAAAGCGAATGTCCGATGCCTTAACCAGGTTGGTAGATATGGAGGATCGACCTAGGAGAGTTGGAAAACTCTGATTTCAAACCAATAGTGAACATGGGCTTCATGATCTTAAAAGAACAAATAGTGTACGAACCAATTACTGGCTACCGGCTACCATGGAACTGCACCTCCTGACATTACTCCATTGCCTTGTAAATCAGACCTTTAGCTCGAATGCTCTGGCCCCTTAAGAAAGCCACCTGTTTGGGTCTGGACACCCGGGAAGTATCACAGCTCACACACAAATCAAGTGACTTGTGTGGCACATATGTATTTGGTGTCCATTTGTACCAATATTTATGTGTTCAAATAAATAAATAAATAAATAAGTATGGGTAACCGATGAGCATCATATTAGCCTTTACACTTTGAATGTGACTGATACTGAAGTACCGAATGAATGGGTTTATTTAAATGTAATTAAATGTTGTAAGCCAACATAAGAACATAATATTTTCGGACTTATTCAGATTGCTGTAAAGTAATACATATTAACATAGTAACAAAGCGAAGGATATTTCATAGTCATTGTTAATGATATAAATTGATTTATTCAAGAAACGTAAATAATTAAATACACAGCTTTACAAAATAAATTGTATAACAAAAGAATCAAATCTCTTCGAATTTATTCGAAATTTAAATGCACTTTGTAGAGGATTTGTACATATACTGAATCAGAACATTAAAGTTATTTAAAATAAAATCCATTAAGTCACACTAATTTCAGTTGATTATTTATTATATCAATATCTTCAATATCTTGAGCTTTATAATACTCAATTATGCTCATACATTTTTGCCAATCAGGATTATAAGCAGCTAGTGGACTTAATACATCATATGCTATTCTTGAAAATTTACATAAAACACGACCTAGACAATCTAAATTATTGTATGTATTGTATGGATGTATCAGATAATTTTTAACTTTATCCATTCGGTTACAGTTGTGAAATTCACTAGTATCACTTATATGGGATAATAGGAAAGAGGTGACTGAATAAACCAGTCGACCAAGTTGTAAACGATCTGACAATAACCAAGTTGTTCTCCAGTAGAATTCACTCAAACTGCTAGCAATAACAATATTTACTAGGGAATCTTTAAAAACTTTGAAATTCGTTTTATTATATTGATGACGACCATTCAAATTATCTAGTAATGAATTCAATGGTATTGCATGTATAAATCGAACACGAGAACAACATCGTGCTAAGTATAAACTGTCTTTATGGCCAAATAATTTATAATAAGAACAAGATTCTTCAAGTTGTATATCCTTAACTGATTTCAATTGGATATTTTGTATAGATTCATCAATTTGACAACAGCGTAAGTACATAATTAGCGCATCTAGAGCTGTAAGAAATAATGAGGAAAAAGTAAGTTAAAATAGGGCACTCATTTTAGATTGCATACATGATCAGAGCAAATAATTTAGGATGACAGATGTAATTTGAAAATTTCTAATTAATTTGTTAAACTTTGGGATATAATTGATTGATAAGTAAAATTTATAAAGATTAACTCTTCTGAACTCAAATTTACATATATAGTAATTTATCCAAAAATTTACCTAATCAAGTGATAGTTTACAAGTTATATCACACTAATATATGGAGCTGATAAAAACTAACCACTCTGAAAACCTATACAGGATACTCAAATTTTTTTGACATCTGTAAAATCTAAACTGATACCCGGTCACTAAGGTTTACCCATACATGAAGTGCTAATATGGGACAATGCACTTTTGATGGTTGATCATCTTATTAATATGTGGTTATTTACTAGTTATGCAGTATGATGACATAGTATTATTTACTGGATGTTTTCATGCAACAAAGTGCATCTGAAGCACCAGTTAATAAATATAACAGTAAAATTTAATATGAACTGTAACTTATTTAATAAATACGGGTCTATGTACTCAGCTTTCAGCTTTACTGTTTACATGAGGGTTATTAATGCAACTTGACTCCTCAAATCGATGTAGTTAGAGATGGGTTGAACTTATGTTCTACTGATCGGAAATTAGATGCTCCAACCACTACGCTACCGCTTTACGGTATAGCTACGTGATAGATTGAATAAACAGACGAATATAAATTGAATGTTAATCTCACAAGTAATGTAATGGTTCTATCCTTTAATCTCTCGTAATTATTGCAGTAGATAGCATAAGCGATTATTGAGTTATTAGATTTGTGATAAAAAGACACTAGTCATCGAGTTAATTTTCCCTTAACACTAACACTCGTATGCAACTACAAATAATTCGGAAGGCTAAAATACCGTTACGCATTAAACCGTTATAATAACACCACACTAATCTGTACATTAAATATCTGGTTAACATGAAATATTGTATACGTAGTTTATTTGTAAGAAATGAGATCCAAAAGCGAAATTACCAGTATCAACATCTGAATGTACTTCAGTTTTGCCATACAGATTATCTGCAATTCGATTTATTAGCTTATCATCGTAGACTCGGAGGCATACAAAACAGTAACGGACTATAATGGGCTTTGGTAGTTTATCATTGTTACATTCCTTCAATTTAACGGAAGAAGGTAGTTTGTCAAATTGTAGTGGTTCACTTAAACAGTCAGATGAACAACAAATGAGTGATGTAATCTTTTTTTCCTAAACACGGATAATAATAACAATATTATAGAATAAGTGAAATTACGAAATGTAAATGAAAGCAAACGTATCTATTAACTTATGAAGTCATTTATGGGATTGCTAAGTCATAATTAAGAAGTGTAGGCATAACGATATTAGATATATATCACAATTTAATCAGTCTTTTTGATTGTATTGGTGTCTATGCTACACCATGCTGACACGTATTTATACTAACTTTTAATTAATTTCATTTCTGTATTTTAAGCTATTTGTCGTTTTGGAATATTACGGATTGTAAGCAGTAAATAAAACAAGATGAATTAGTGCTGTCCTGATGAAATTATTTTTCCTTGACATTAATGAATGGAGGTATGTATACGACAACTTAAAACAATTGGGTAATATACATTAAATATTTTTAAACGACATCGTTACATGTTTTCTGATGCATCAAAAATCAGTTACGAAGCTATCGGTTCCTCGAGATTTGAGTATAATTCAGGTGGATCTTTGTTATAGGTAAAATTACGGTGGCTTCCCTAAAATTTGCTACTATCTAACACATAAACTTAAAACTGGCAGTACTTGTAGTAAAACTGATGAGATATGGTAAATTTAAAATAAAAGGAGGTTACGATCGGAATTCGCTTCTGTACTGACTCAACTAGTATGTTAAATTATATCTTCAGTACAACTTCATGTCTCAGAACCTATGTAGCTAATAGGACCAACTGTGCACAAGAAAGGCCCGTGTCCTAATGAACGTATGTGCCGCCCATAATGAATCTCACTGACATGACCTCGAGAGGAATTCGTGTACGTGACTTGGATTGCATTGATTTTCGGATCACAGGACCGAAACTTTTGATAACCAGTAAAAGCCAATGGACTAAATTCTGAATTGACAAGCTTATTCTGAAGCGAATGCAATAGTTATGGTAGCTATTACCTTAGTATTAACATTAGATACATTTAATTCGTATTTTTTACCGTGAAGCACGCTAAAACAAGACGCGGCTTCGCTTATCAAATTAGAAAGGGATGTTATCAAAAGAGATATAAGTAAAATTTGTTTACTAGGAACAGATATTTAACATCAAACAGAACATAGTGATCAGTTTGTCAAAACGGCTATGGCAGGAATAAATAGTACCAACATTGTTTCTGTGCATCTCCACACGAAGTGTTTGAATAGTAAAAACACAGAGGAACATACTGGCTTTGTGGAGTCTGTGTTAAACCTGCTTTATTACTTTTATTTCTCATAATGAATTGTGACATAATACTCAATATTCAATAACTTGTACCATTATAAATCATTTTTTGAACATATGACTCGAATCACCCCTTTGTTGTTAGGTGTGACACTTTTAAGCATATATATGAATTTGTGACATTTAATCCAGTTACTACTGTATCTGTATTTTCTTAAAATTTAACAGTTGTTAACATTTCGTCTACGTTCACTGGACGTTTGTTTAGTATTAACAATTTCTATTTTTGTGTGCGCAGCTCTCGTTTCGATAGACTAGTTGTGATTACAGACACCCAAGGAACTGAGGTTTGAGAAATCTACTGCATAGGTTGTCATTAATAACAGTACCGTTCTGTGTACAAACTCTACTTTTATATGGGATTTTTTGTATCATTCAATCATTTGGTTTGAAGACAAGTGGATTTAACAGTTACATTGTAAAACATAAGTAACTTGGTAATCAACTGTTAGGCTTCATAGTCAGTATCTGTTCCATTGCTACCTTGTCAGACAGCATTGTCACTAAACTGCTACCCGATCACGGTTCCCAAAGCTTCATTACTTTTGGATTTGCCCAAGAATAGAAAAATAAATATCGAGTTCATAATTTTATGGTATCTTCAACTTATTTAAATACTCAACTACTACATTCATTCCGAAAAGAAAAGCTATCCATCTGAATTTAAACTTCCGAACAACTTACCGGAAGCCTAACTAACCATAAAAATTCAGTCAATCAGTTAGCCACACACACCCCAACCAGGTAGTCTGAATCTAATAACATGGCTCAAACCAAAAGACTTCAAAGACTGATACCATGTTTTGGTTTGACTACCTCTAACGTTCATCTAACTATCCCCAACACTAGTCAGCATTGCGCATCGTGATAATCAATGAAGATTCATAACCTCATCAACCGATTTACCACCATTCCCTAATACCCTGCGTCTAACCTCACTATTACTTACCCAGTGATCCCAAAAAATGCGAGTAATATCTCCAAGGCATCTGTGATCAAATACTAGTAACTTACGACTATCTTCTACACTTAAAGGCAACATTCCTCAGCCGTAAAGTAGAACAGAACGGACCGCCGCGCGGTATAGTCGTCCCTTTGCATTAGGTGACGTAGATTTGTAAAAGCCAAACGAGCTTTCTGAATCCGTGCTGAGATTTCGTCAGACACCAACCCATTAGGGCCAATGAGACTTCCAAGATCAGTGAAGTTGTCGACGCGTTCGACTGCTTCACGCCCCATCCTTAGTTCAGGTGTTGATGCAGGCCAGTCCTGAAGCAATAATTTACATTTAGGTGGGGAGAAACTCATTCTAAACATCTTGACATTGTTCAGTGCTACCAAAAGACTGCATTTTATCAGCGTCTTCATCATCTACATATTCTAAGTCAATAAGTGAATTTCCTGGTGAGCGGTCAATTCCCGAAAATTCAGTCGACAAGAACGTTACTTCTAGCAGTAGGTCTATGATGAATGTGAACAAAAATGGAGAAAGTGGACAGCCTTGACGAACAGCACTTGGGGATGTAAAATCAAATGACAGTTCGCCATAAGCTTGACTGGTAGTGTTTGAGTAAAGAGCCCTCTCAAGGTTTGTGTACTTCTGAGATACACCTTTTAATTACAGACACTGCCATAGAACCTCTCGATCTACAGAGTCAAACACTGCTTTCAAGTCAAGAGAAACTATCATTGTCGGACGCCGATAAGCATGCCTATGTTTTAAAACCTGACGAATGGTGAATATGTGGTAGATGGAGCTACCAGGTTTGAAGCCAGACTAGTATTTTCGTGTTTGTAGTTCACAAGTCTTTTTTATGCGTCCGATAATTATTTAAGCTATTATTTTAGATGCTAGATTAATTAAACTAACCCGACCGTTGTTGCTACCCTGACGTGGTGGTCGGGCTTGCCTATCGTGATGAAGCAACCGAGCTATACTGGCTGGAACAACCGTTCCTCAAGGTCCTACCATGTCAGACAGGTCGGTTGAAGAGCGGTAAGACTAAAAGCAACAAACCCAAGGTCCGAAGGCGAAGTCGTACTGCTGACTGTACAGAGGTGTGACAGCAGTAAGGTGTTTCCTTCAGACAACCAGCATGACAGCGATGCTGCCTTCCCACAAGGAGGGGTGGGGTTAGAAAAGGTCGACCCTAAAAATGCACACCTCACCTTACCTCACGGATTTCCGTCTCCGGCGGTAAGGCCCTTTGAAGAACGGAGCTAACATGTCAAAAACCTTCCACGAAAAGGCCGTGCGCGACCGGCCTCAAGCAGTTGTCCCTTGGGCACTGCGGTCACGCTCTCAGGTCACTGAGACCACCTCTAATCCAATTTCCTTTTCAGGCACCTCCAGAAGAACCCTTCCACGGTGTGGGCAACCGGGAAGTGATAACCGCCCTCATACCTCTAACAGCACTCAAGACCACTGTATTCATAATCAACCTTCCTTTTCAATTCCTATTATTCCTCCTACATCGACTTTCAACCCTAAACTTCCTCCTTCGGCTTCCTCCTCAAGTGTCACCATAGCCAACGATTCTAGTGCTCAAAACTCTGTCCCAGGTCTACTGAAACCTCGCTCCAAACTACACATTGGAGCTTTCAACGTACGCACTCTATGTCAAATCGGTCAACAGGCTTCCTTGGCTAAAACCCTAGAGTCTCTTTCCATTGATGTATGCTGTGTCTCCGAAACACGCATACAGGATTCCAGTGTGGTCATTCACTTGACCTCACCTCGGCAAAACGGAGAGCCAACGAGATACACCCTACGTGTATCTGGTGACCCGATGGCCAGTTCTCGTGGACTGGCAGGTGTAGGCATAGCACTAAGCATGAGGGCGGAACAAGCACTGCTAGAGTGGATCCCCGTCAACAGTCGTCTATGTGCTGTTCGGCTAAACGGCTCCGTAAGAACTCGGAAGGATAGGGACACACGTCGTTGCCTTTTTGTCGTTTCTGCCTACGCTCCCACCGACTGCAGCTCAGATGATGTGAAAGATGAATTTTACAGAAAGTTATCTGAACTTCTTCAGAAAGCTAAACGCTCAGACATAGTACTCGTAAGGGGTGACTTTAATGCTCAGATAGGTAGCTTAAACCACACAGAAAGGCATTTAGGTGGATATTTTAGCATTCCGGCACAGCGAACAGATAATGGTGACCGTCTGCTGCAACTGTGCTCAGACAATCGCTTATTTTTAGCAAACACAAATTTTAAGCATAAGGAGAGACATCGTCTAACATGGCGACCCCCTACACCAAACCAACGATGGACTCAAATAGACCATATTGCCATCAGTCATCGTTGGAGAGGGTCGGTAGAAGATTGTCGCTCATTCTGGAGTACCTGCTTGGACTCCGACCACACCCTAATACGGGCACGCATCTGCTTGCGCCTCACCGGACACAAAAAAGCCACATTAAAAAGACCCATTAGAACTAAGTTGAGTAACGAGAAAACCAAAAATAGGTTCCAAGAACACCTGAGTTCACACTTAGGTAGTTCTGAAGACGAGGCTGACCCAGATGTTGCTTGGAAAGACATACAAGCAGCTATGGAAGCAGCAGTGACATATATTAGGGATTTAAACCACAGAGTTTCAAGGAACCAGTGGATTTCTTCAAAGTCTATCGCACTGATGGATTCTCGCAAATTCGTCCCATCAGGTTCCGAACATGATGAAGAGCGACAACAAATCAGATCTAGGTTAAGAAAAAGTTTAAGAAACGACCGTGAGCAGTGGTGGGCAACGAAAGCAAAAGAGATGGAAAAGGCGGTGGCTATAGGGAACACAAGACAGCTCTACAGATTAATAAAAGAAACTGGAACTAATAAGTCTAGTGTAAGTGAGATTATTTCGGAAAAAAACGATACTCTCATCTACTCCCAGTCCAGGCGTTTAGAACGATGGGCGGAACACTTTAGGGAACAGTTCAGCTGGCCTTCAGCTACTCTACAACTACCCTCCATTCCCAGACAGCGTGAATGGAACATTGAAGTAGGTCCCCCAACTCTTGCTGAAGTTCAAAAGGCTATAGATAATCTGAAACGAGGAAGGGCAGCTGGTCTAGATGGACTGGTTCCAGAATTCTTTAAGGATGGTGGTCCAATTTTAGCGGTTAGGTTGACTAATATTTTAGCTAAGATCTGGGAGTTAGACGTTATTCCATCTGACTGGTCACAATCACTTATCGTCCCAATATATAAGAAAGGGTCAAAATCATCCTGTGACAACCACAGAGGGATTAGTTTAACTAATATAATATCTAAAATACTAACCTCGATAATTATCAGACGCCTAACTAAGACTCGTGAATTGCAAACACGAGAAAACCAAGCTGGCTTCAGACCTGGTCGTGGCTGCATCGACCACATATTCACCATTCGTCAGGTTCTAGAACACAGGCATACTTATCGGCGTCCGACGATGGTGGTCTTTCTTGACTTAAAAGCAGCATTTGACTCGGTAGACCGCGAGGTTCTGTGGCAGTGTCTGTCATTGAAAGGCGTACCTCAGAAGTACATAAACCTTGTGAAGGCTCTTTACTCGAACACTACTAGTCGAGTGAGAGCTTATGACGAACTGTCATCTACTTTTGCAACCTCAAGTGGTGTCCGTCAAGGATGTCCACTTTCCCCATTTTTGTTTAACTTCATCATAGACCTACTGATGGAAATAACTTTCTCGTCGACTGAGTTCTCGGGTATTGATCTCCATCCAGGAGGTCCACTTATCGACTTAGAATACGCAGATGATATAGTCCTGTTTGGTGAAGACGCTGACAAAATGCAGAGTCTTCTGGTAGCACTGAGCAACAATGCCAGGATGTTTGGAATGCGCTTCTCTCCCTCGAAATGCAAATTGTTGCTTCAGGACTGGTCTGCGTTAACACCTGAACTAATGATAGGGAGTGAAGTAGTTGAACGCGTTGACAACTTCACTTATCTTGAAAGTCTGATCAGCCCTAATGGGTTGATATCGGACGAAATCTCAGCACGGATTCGAAAAGCTCGTTTGGCTTTTGCCAACTTACGTCACATGTGGCGAAGGCGAGATATCCGTCTATCAATAAAAGGACGAGTATACTGCGCGGCAGTCCGTTCTGTTTTACTTTACGGTAGCGAAACATGGCCATTAAGAGTAGAAGACACTCGTAAGCTACTAGTATTTGACCACAGATGCCTTAGAAATATTGCTGGCGTCTGCTGGGATAATCGGGTAAGTAATAGTGAGGTTAGACGCAGGGTATTAGGAAAGGATGGTAAATCAGTTGATGAGGTTATGAATCTTCATCGACTGAGATGGCTGGGCCACGTGTTACGTATGCCTGAACACCGATTACCACGACGTGCAATGCTATCCGGTATCGGAAATGGTTGGAAGAAAGTTAGGGGCGGCCAAACTAAAACGTGGCATCAGTGCTTGAAGTCACTAACTTCTAGTCTGAGCCATGTTGGTAGATGCAGACTACTTGGTTGGGGTCCGCGTGACTATTGTAACCAATGGTTGGAGACTCTTGGTGACATGGCTCAGAATCGATCACAATGGCGTCGGTGTATACACTCCCTGTCTTTCCTTAAACTAAGAGATTAAAATCGCTTCATATCTTTCTTTCTACTAACCAATTCTTTCTTCTTGTACTATATCTCTATATACAATCTTTCTCTTATATATTACCACCTTTTACCTAACCACTGTTATGAATCCGGTGTTCATCTTGTTGTGCTGATGCGGTATGGCAACCTGGACCGATGCACATATGTGCCTGGTCCTACGTTGTAGCTGACTGACTGACTGACTGAAACTAATCCCTCTATAGTTATCACAGAATGATACTGACCCATTCTTGTATATTGGGACAATCAATGACTGCGACCAGTCACATAAGATTATGTTCAGTTCCCAGATTTGTCAACCTAATCGCTGGACTGAGAGCAGATAAGAGTGCCACCTTTTTCCGAGATTGTCTCACATACACATGACGTCCTAATTTAGGTTTCTTTTATTAGTATGAAGAGTTGTCTGGTGTTACCTACAGCTGCTGCATTTTTTATCTCTTTCGTTTCAGTTGCCCACCACTACTTACGGTCGTTCCTTAGACTTTTCGTTAACCTAGACCTGATCTGTTTTCGCTCGTCCCTTTGTTCGGAGCATGATGGGATAAGTTTACGAAAGTCTATCAATGCAAAAGATGTAGCAGTAACCACTGGCTTCTTGTGACGTTTCGGCTCAAATCACTGATGGATGTGCTTGTTGTTTCCACAGCTGTTCGTATATCTTTCCAAGCAACATCTGGATCAGCTTCGTTTCCAGAATTGCCTAAGCGTGGTCTCAGTTGTTCCTGGAATCCACTTTTGGCTTTCTCGTCACTGGGTTCAACTCTAATGGATCTTTTTAATATGGCTTTTCTGCGTCTTATGAGGTGTAAGCAAATGTGTGTTCGTAATAGAGCATGATCAGAGTTCAAACAGGTATTCCAGAACGAGTAGTAGTCTTCTATCGAGTCTCCAACGATGACTGGCGGCAATATGGTCTATTTGAGTCCATCGTTAGTTTGGTGTAGGTGGTCGTCATGTTAGACGATGTCTCTCCTTATGCTTAAAATTAATGCTTGCTAAAAATAAATGATTGTCTGAGCACAGATGCAGAAGACGATCACCATCATCTGTTCGCTGAGCCCGAATACTAAAATACCCACCTAAATGTCTTTCTGATTGGCTTAAGCTACCTACCTGGACATTAAAGTCAGCTTCTATGAGTAATATGTCTCTTTGAAGTCCAAAAAGCTTTCTGCAAAACTCATCTTTCACTTCATCCACGTTGCAGTCAATGGGATCGTAGACATAAATGATGAAAAGGCAACGAAGTGTGTCCCTATCCTTCCGAGTTATTACGGAGCCAAACAACACACATGTGACTGTTAACACGGATCCATTCTAATAGTGTTTCTTCCGCCCTCATACATGGTGCTATGACAACACCAGTCTACAGGAACTTGCCGTCGGGTCGCCAGATACACGGAGGGTATATTTCGTCGGCTTCCTGTTTTAGTCAGGTGAGGTCAAGTGAATAACCACACTAGAATCATGTATGCGTGTTCCAGAGACACAGCACACACCAATCGTACGAGATTCTAGGGTTTTAGGAGGCCTGCTGGCCGATTTGACACGGTGCATACGTTAAAGGTTCCAATGTGTAGTTTGGACTGGGACAGTATTTCGTGCATTACAGTCGTTGGTCATAGTGATACTTAAGGAGGAAGTCAAAAAAAGAAGTTTAGAGTCGAAAGTCAAGATAGGGAAAATAATAGGAACTGAAGAAAAATCGATTATAAGTACAGTGGTCTTGAGTGCTGTTAGAGGTATGAGGGCGTTTATCACTTCCCGGTTCCTCACACTGTCGAAGGGTTCTTCTAGAGGTATCTGGAAAGGAAATTGGATTAGAGGTGGTCTTAGTGACCTGAGAGCGTAGCCACAGTGCCCAAGGGACAACTGCTTGAAGTCGGTCACACACGATCTTTTTGTGAGTAGTTTTTGTTAGCTCCGTACTTGTTGAGACCTTATCACCGGATACGGATATCTGTGGGATAAGGCGAAGTGTGTAATTTTACGACCGACCATCTCTAACCCCACCCTTACTTTGTGGGAAGGTAGCATCGCTGTTATGCTGGTTTTCTGAGGGAAACATCTTACTGCCGTCACACCTCTGTAAAGTCAGCGGTACGAATTCACTCTCAGATCTTGGGGTTTGTTGCTTTTAGTCTTACCGTTCTTTAGCCGACCTGCCTGGGATGGTAGGACCTTGAGGAACGATTGTTCCATCCCGGTTGGTTCATCACGATAGGCAAGCCTGACCACCACAATAAGGTAGCAGCAACCATCGGGACCTTAACCGATACAAAATAAATGTTCAATAACTTGATAGGAATTAATTAACATATTATCATAATACGCCGAAACAAAGTGAACTTACACGGTTGGTATCTACACATAAACTGCATTCACATTTAAAGTAATAGTTATTCAACAGATACCTTTGTCTTTCTTCAGTGGTTGTCATACAATCACAGTAACTAATGTGGGGCTGTAAGATAAAAAAACGAGAACTGGAAATGAATAGTAGGTACTTAAGAATAGGGAAATGCATTTTCTTTACAACGGCATACTGATGAAAATAGTTACATAGAACTTTTGTTTGAAGAGTACTATACAGTTTTTACAATAAGAAGTGATCTGGACGATTTTACAGAAACGTTAGTCATGCAATTTCTTTTTATCTGTTTATGGAGAATAAATATCAAAGCATGGTCCAGTAATTAGACAAAAATTTGATAATTTACCAACAACTTGTGTTCTCGGGTTTCAATATCACTCAACTCGTCACTGGACAGATTTTCACTCAATAGCTTTTTTACCTGCCTTCATATGAAAACATAAGGACTAAGACCTGAAGTTTAATGACAACAGGATTTTCCCCCAACTAGCAGGTAAAATTGATACTGGGCACCAACTCATCTAACAACCATACTTCCCGAGATAGGTATAATGCAATGTAATTTTAATACACCGCTAACAGCTAAAACTTGAATCTCTTTTTAGACATCGTGTATCTAGCCAGTTTTGTCAGGTTTCCTAGATAAAATATTGGTTTGTTTTGGAACCATAAAAGCTAACTTAAGGAGCGGAAGGAAAAGGCATGACCATTTAAGCCAAGGGTGATCGAATAGCTGGCAGAACGCCCAGATATGATTGAACTTTTCTCGATAACCAATTTGAATTCGAACCAAACTACTTGAGGACTGCATGGCACTTATAACTTCAGTTAAAAGTAGGAGATGAATATACTACTGCAATCTTATACACTAAAAAACGATCTGGACCCTAATGTTCCAAATCTCTGCAAAAATATGCTACGCTGATAGTCAGCAATCAAAAATGAGGATTAAGCCACATGATTTAACGAAAGATCAATACTTACTGACGCCGAACACGTAGATGAAGGGTATCTACACAGAACAATTTGACGATTTGAAAATACGTACTGCAAGTCAGGAACACAAGAATGATCTAGACGAGCGGCTCTGTTTGTAATGTAATTAAGACGAAAAACTAACTTGAGGAAAAGCGCGGGTCCAACATCCACACCGTCTGGATCAGTAATCATGAAGCCATTAATTTGAATCTTTGGACAGTAAAGAAATGAGATCCAAATTACTTTACAAAATATTTGGAAAAGAGTTCCCTCATTCGCAAACACTTCCCCACCCAAAAATTCCCATAGGGTTAGCCTCATTGTGTGGTACTTTTCCATAAGTTTAGAATTATTGCGTATTTCGTTTTCGTCTAAAAAAAGATATCAATATCTACGAGTATTTACGGGAGATAAGAGAATCGATATGGCACTTCGGGTCCTGACGTAATAATAAGCATGTTACAAACAAACCTGCATACTGATAATCCTTAAAATAAGACGGACAGGGGCTATCGGTAGACGTCCACATTTAATGTACTGTTTACATTCAAGTTTGTGCACACGCCACATAAGACGCTGACAGTCGCGGGAACAATACATCATTATTTTGCAAGAAGAGCATGACCAAAGATTAGGAATGCTTTTCAAACACCCATCACAGTACTTCGAGAGTTTACTATTTAAAATAGAGTGTACGTAAGAAGCCTCTTTCATATAGACAACCCCCGACAAGGTCATTTTTAAAAAAGAAGCACACTTTCCTTGACCTTTCGAATTTGAACTCAAGTGAGAAAAGGGCGAAAGTAGAATACAGTTTTGGACGATATATTCATTCATTGTTTCAACTGAAAGAGACATGTCTGTAAATGGAAACTTAAGTCCTCAGTCTTCTGTTGATGTTGTTAACATGTTTGTTGTGATCATGTCAACTTTGAAGCTATTCCAGGTAAAATTTCCTCGTCATGTGATAATAAAGAGTCATACTTGAGTATTCACCCTTTTGGTAAGGTTTTTTATTTTTGGTTCATGAAATGCTGTGGGAACACTCAGAGCATCTCATGATGTGGGAGACTATTAAGGTTAAGTAAACATTTTATGTCTCAATGTGATTTTAATCTCGCTTACATATGGAGCTTTGCAGTCTTCATTAGTAAGAATGGGAAGTCTATCAACTTATATTTATCCTTGCAATCTGTAACAATGTGAAGGTCAAATCTCTTTGAATTTATCAACAGAAGGCACAGATATTGGTAGAGAATTCCAGCAATTCACTGCTCAGTGATAGAAATGGAACTCCGGTCGCAAATGGTTGGGTATCGAGCTTTGAACTTCATCAGATTGTCCGCTCAGATGATCAGTCCTTGATAGAAGGAAAAGATAGGGCATATTCATACCAAAGTTATTGTTTAGTATATATTAAGATAATATTGGATCACCTTAGATGAAAAAGATAAAACATATTGATACCGAAATCGCCATTAGATATATTGTAGCGATAAACAAACTTCCTTTATGGATAAGTCTTTAAGTTTTCTACATTGGTAGTGACCTCACTGGTTTTACTGGACACGCCCCACCTGAAGTGGCACATCCGCACCACCTCACGAGTAGGTCCGCCGTGCTATAAATCCCTTACAACTGTTAACCATCTTAGATCAAATTCTTCTCTACGAATCGGTAGCTTTCCAAATATATCTTCAAACCTCTTCATTTCTGACCTCTGGTTTGACTGGATTAGTATTCTAAATGCGGCTTCCCAAAAGTCGGGCATGGAGCCTGAAACGCTTCTTCGTCAAAATACTGAAAAGACTTATAAATAACCCATGTAACCCTGGAGCCTCTGGCAGAGGCAGTCTAGAAGTTGCTCGTAATTTTAAGGTCGATGCTTACTATGACTCCCAGATCGTTATAGTCTATTGCCTTAGGCACTTAATTGTATTACCTCATTCATGATCACTCACCCATTCATGCAACCAGCGCATTCAGCTCAAGTTATAGTATTCACAATATAATATATTTCTGCAAGGGCAGGTACACGCCATTTTTACAGGAATGGTCAACAAATTACAACATTTATTGGTTCACAGTATGCATGGTGAACTACGACCTTGGAGAAAGACGTGCGTCTAGCTTGTTCCATATGTCAGAAGTTACATAGCTGAGTCCTCAAAGTAAGACCCTGAAAACCGAGGAGCAGCAAGTTTTTGGATACGAACGATAAACAATACTTAACATTTTGTAGTGGAACAGACAGAGATATGGTAAATTATTAGATTAAATTCATACTAGCCCTTGTTGCTACAGTAGGATGTGATCAGAGGCTCCAGATGAGAGAATGCAGTAAAAAAGAACAACGGATTGTGATATTTATCAAGGTGGAGTAGATTCAAACGAAGGAAAGGTAGTCAGGGTTAGAATAAGGAGGGTTGTTTATTAGAACAGAGAATGAATAGAGAGAGTAAAGTGTTAAGAAAACTAACAAGTATGTCTTTTATTGTCTGATTCCTTTTCCATCCGATGCCTGACATACAGTCTTAATGTAAAAGTCCGAGTTAGCATGTTATAAGTTGTCTTATTGGAATAGTTAATCCATCATAAAATTGTAAACCTTACAGTCAATACTCCGTCAACATGCAATAGAAAATTAGGAAGCAAAAGATAAGTCTTTAATCGAAATCACGGAATAAAAGTTCGGACGAGGAAGACTGAAGAACAAAAGGTGTGGTTAAACGAGATCTGAACAAAGGTTAAAATACACGACCAGAAGAAGAAACAAATAAATGACAGTACTATCCAACAAAAAGGCTGCGGAGGGATCCTCATCGTTCTTTCTCCGTTACGACTTTAAAAAATCAGAGGAAAAGGTAACACCAGGGTAACTGACCATCAACACTGTGTTTATCAAAGATTTCCCAATAGTACAAGCATTTGGGGATCCCAACATGGTGCTTAGGTGCTGTTTGTTACGAGAGAACTGAAAACATTTAGCTGATTAAAACCTTTATATTAAATATTATTAATTTTACTGTGCTTACGGATGTGCTTGTTTTATTCAACTTCTGAACTTGTTTGTTTACATCATTATTTTTGGACATTTTCGTTTTGTCCATGTTTTTGGCTCGGTATTTGGGAGTTTTTGTTCCAGGAACCTACGAAATTGAAGGTTTGTTTCTATAATCGTCATAAATATTGTTAGAACGAAATTCGGGCCGACAATTTTTAAATTGCGAATAAAATATGGTACCTAAATTGGGGCTTGGCTCTATTGTTAATTTGGGTTCGTAAATTGCAAATAGATCGATATACCGTACTTCAATAAAGGGAACAAGCAAAAACTTTAACGCAACTCTGTCCATGTCTCAGGCTAACGTTAACAGTTTGACATTTAAACGGGTTGGTTACAAGACCGTTTGAAAAAAAAGTCATTCAGTGTGAGACAAGATCTCATTCATTTCTATGAAACATAAAGAGGTAGAAGTCGGCATACATGATAATGTTTTTTATGGAAGCTAACAGATCACGCTGAAAAGAGAGAAAAAGAAAAGGTGAAAAAGTCAGCTGCTTATGGCACACCTTTAAAAGACGGTAGGGACGTTGAACATTTCCCTCCAAACTCAGTGCACTGTTCTCTTCCAGAGAGGTAGGAACATAACCAATTGATCTTCCGGTTTCAGTGTTGACGTTGATATTTCGTGCCTATAGGTAACCCTCGTGTTATTGATAGAAGAATCCAGACAATAACTGGATGAAGTCTTTATTTCGATCTTAGCGCAGTCACAGTGGAGCGTGGGATTATCTGTTCAGACAAACAAAGGCTTTCAGCATTCAATATAAGATAATAAGGAATATAACGCTTATACAAAATAAGGAAGTGAATGAATACTTGAACAATACTGTTTTGGCATATGCTTGGTTGTTTGGGGTCAACTCTTAACCAACCAACCTATGCTGTTACATTAGCTTCCCCCTAGAATCGACTTCCGTAGGAACGTCGGTTCGATTAACCTATCTATCAAAAACACCTTAGTTCTATTTCTCATTCCAAGGGAAAGTTATCAACTCACTCAATGTTTGACTTACAATAAGTGGCAACTAACGCTGACAACGGTAGTCCATGGATGTCTCTTCATTTACTAGCTTGTCATCTTATTTAGTAGCATGTGATTTCTTCTACAACTATAGCTGACGGTTTACTGAGTGCTTTCATGAGAAAGAGTGTTAAACTGTGGAATAAGAATATCTGAGGAAGTGCCGCGTTTCTCAGGCCGAATGGCATGCGTACAAACTCGAATAAGCCAAAGGGTGTTGTAATAGCTGTCTTAGGGATATCTTCATCAGCCACCGGGATATTGTGATATGCCCTGACTAAGTCAATTTTAGTGAATATGTTCATACCCTGTAAACCGTTTGTGAAATCTTGGATATGCGGTATTGGGTACCTATCTGGTACGGTTTGACGGTTGAGGGCTCTGTAATCCCCACACGGTCGCCAGTCACCTTCATTCTTCTTTGGGACCATATGCAAAGGGGATGCCCATTGACTATCAGACGGACAGATAATACCCAGTTGTAGCATATAATCAAACTCGGCTCTAGCGATTTTGAGCTTATCTGGTGCTAGTCTCCTGGGTTTTGCAAACACCGGTGCACCTTCGGTTTTGATAGTGTGACTTACTTTTAGTTTGTCTTTGGAAGGCTGTGGGTTTGGTTTGGTTAAGTTTGGAAATTCCGCGAGTATATCTTGGAATTTCGCTGTTGTTACTGGAGGGGTTTGAATCAAGTTAAGAGAGCTGATGTGACTTTCTTTGCCTTTTGTGTAAAACGAAGTTTCTTTTAGTGTTAATCGCCGTTTCTTGGTGTCAACAAGAAATTCGTATCTCTCTAGAAAGTCCATCCCCAGTATTGCCAGATCTAAGTCGGCTACCGTGAAAACCCAAGGGAATTGCCTTCTGAACCCCAAATCTAGGGTTAACGTTTTCTGCCCAAATGTCGCGATTGTAGTTTTATTTGCAGCTTGAAGTGTAATCGGGGATGTTTCTCGACTAATCTCAGTTTTATTTCGAGGGATGATGCTAAGAGCAGCGCCAGTGTCCACCAAGAAATTCAAGCCCGAGTTTTTGTCTCTGACATAAAACAAGCGACTGTTTAGGCGCCCCTCCTCAGTTGTCGCGACCTGGGGAGGGGTTACTCGTTTCCCGCTGTCTTGGAATTATGCTTAGGCCAGGCGCATGGTTGCCTGCACTTGGTTGAGTTGACACCAAACTTCCAGTGGTACCAACAAAACTGCCCAGATTGTCTGGACATTTGTGACCTATTTTGTGACTTGGATCGTGATCGTTGTGGTGACCTGCTACTGTTTGTATGACCCATTTGCATTCTGGTGACAGCCTCAGTGAGACTCTTAACACTCGCAATGAGTCCTTCTATGACGGGGTCTTTTGCTGATTCTACCTTCTCTGTGTGATTTATTGCGCGTGATCCAGTTGGAGGACCTCTTTCCATTATTCTATCAGCTATACGCGCTAAATGAGATAATGAGGTTTCAGGATCTTGTGCATCCAAACAGTGTTGGACGTAGCATGGGAGAGCTTGTATCCATCCTTGTTTTAGGACTGCTTCACCCACTGTGTTATCACCCACTAAGACTTGGAGGTGACGTAGAAACTGTGACGGCGACCGATCACCTAGTGTTTCACCTTGAAAAAGTCTTTGGATTCTTTGACTATCTGATAATGATAAACTGTTCATTATCTCTCGTCTTA